ATACATTACTATGCTTACACAAAAGAAATGAGCACAGATGGCAGGTCTACTACTTCTCTAACAAGAAATTTGTCATTCCACGTCACCCCGGGATTCAAATCCGAGCAATATTTTTTCAAGTCAAGCTACCTTTGAGAGGCTCCTTGGAGGATTTTTTTCTCCCCTTTTCATTAATTGTACATTAGGAGTGAAAACAACAGAAAGTGATTAGTGCCTTATTAAAACTTTATAATGGGAGAAGTCTCTCAACCAATAATCTATGGTTCACATTTTTTCCAACTTGAGGGGAATATATTTTGCATCTAAATGAAAGTCTACTGGGATGAAGTTTTATGTACCATGGTAAGATTCCCAATAGCTCATTTAGTTTTGACAGATCATTTATTCCACATTAAAATATCTGTGGGTTTTAAATTTATAGACATTAGTTAATTAAATTGAATAATGCTTGAAAAAAAATCAAAGAAGGATATATAAGGAAGTCTAATTTTAGCAAAGAAAAATGCCTTTTTTATGAAGCACTATGGTAAATATTATAGTGCAATGTTAAATTTTATAAACTTTTCTCTAAGGCTAGTATCAATCAAACAGTGCTTTATCTAATCGTCTCAATAGGCACCCAAAGAAAGAAAGAAAACAAAAGATTTCAATGCTCATTGTAAATTATCAGTGTTCTTCCTCACAAAAGTCCTAGAAAGAAAAAATAGTCTGTGTGTAAAATGTTCAAAATCACAACTTTAAATAAGACACAAGAAAACGTAAATGTTCTAGGGCTTCTACTGGGGGAAAGATTTTGTTCTGTAAATCTTATTTTACCGCAGCATGCTGTATATATGAATATTTTTGAGATCTCTGCTTCTACGTGTATCATTTAGCAATGTAGCGAAACATGAAAAGGATCTTTCAACACTTGCACTGTGACCTGGTGGACAAAGAGAATTACGTGTAATGTTGTCAAATTGGTAAAAATACTTTCTTTGATAGCCTGCCAAAACTGGATAACACCCTTTTCATTCACTCCAAATGAGGTTTTTTTTTTTCCTTTTTGTTTTTTTATTCCATTTGGATAAATTCTAAGTTATATCAACACTGGGATGTTATTATCCAAAATTTAGTAGAGTGATTCAAATCCTGGTATGATAATCTGATTTACATTTGCTTACCAGTGCAAAGGTTTAAAATTACACTGCTTCAAATAACCTGCAGCCTCAAAGGTATGTAGTGTTTGCCTTGACTAGTGAAGAAATAAGGGCAGTGGCTCTTTTAAGGATCTCCCCCCAACCTTCAGGGCTGTGAGTGAGAGGGAAGCATCACCTGGCAGGCTGGCCAATGAGGCTAATGTGAGCTATTGGCTCATATGGGAGGTTGTTTGTCCCCCTTTTGCTTCTGGATTAACAGAGGAGCCTGCAGGGACTTCCTTGTGTGGGGTTCACAGGTGCCTCAAAGTAACAGGAAGACTTCCAGCAAGGACTGGCTTGAACTAATCCTAGAGTCACAACAGAGGCAGGCACACACGTGGAGGTTGGCAGCTCAGTGGTGGGACGCACAGCAGACAGCAAGTGCAGATCTTTTGCCTAGTGGAGGTTTCTTCTTGGCTGGCATGTGAGTGGGTCCTGGCAGTTGATTTGCTGGCTGACTTCTACCCTGGAGTGAGAGCATGTGCAGGGCAGAGAACAGCAGCCCAGCAGCAGCAAGAGACAAAGAAGGAAAGCACAGTCATGGCTTGTTTGCCCCCACCACTGCGAAGTAGCAGAGTTTAATTTGGATTTTGGAGGGGCAGTGATGCTGGAAGAATTTTTGTGAAGAGGGTGTCGTGAGCCATTGAACCAAACTATAAATCATGTATATGATGGAGAGCACTTTGAGCCAGGAGTTGCGGCAACACCTCCAGCATCTCAAGTTCCAGCACCTATGTGGAGAGCTCTCTGCAGGCTAATAAGGAATTAATCAATTGAGGATTTAAGTAATCCTTTGGGCTGTGTCTTGCCAGCTATCTACATTGACCACTTGAATTTCCGCAAGAACACTGACAATCTCATGTAAGAAATCAGTGCTTCTTGCGGAAATACTATGCTGCTCCCGTTCAGGCAAAAGTCCTTTTGCGCAAAGCTTTTGTGCAAAAGAGCCAGTGTAGACAGCTCAGATTTGTTTTGCGCAAAAAAGCCCCGATCGCGAAAATGGCGATTGGGGCTTTCTTTCGCAAAAGCGTGTCTAGATTGGCATGGACACTTTTCCGCAAAAAGTGCTTTTGCAGAAAAGCGTCCATGCCAATCTAGACGCGCTTTTCCGCAAATGCTTTTAATGGAAAACTTATCATGCCAGTCTAGACGTAGCCTTGGAGTTTAAGCATTGTGGTGGGGGGACGGGGAGTGGCAAAGATTCAACATCAACTGTGATTGGCCAGGGGGAAGAGAGAGGAGTAGAGAAACAATTAGGGGCTGAGAACGTGAGTCATAGTACTATAAGAGTGTGAAGAAGTTGGGATTGCCTCTGTTAAGGCAATACAGACTTGCAAAATGTGGAGGCTTCTGGTGGCAGGTCATTCTTCCTTTAAAGGAAGTAAGTTGCCTTGCAAAAGAAACTTCAGTTCATGATGATGTCAAAGACAAAAAGTATGTATTGTCGCAGTCCCCTTGTGAACTGGGATCCTGTTCTTTCAGGCTTGAAGTGATTACTGCAGCAATAGATGCCTATCAGTGGTGGCCTCCCAAAACATACAGGGGTATTAGGATCCCTGTCAGGAAGGATAGTTGTGTGGCATGTCTGTGTGCTAAATTCTTCCTGTCCATCCTTTCCTTCAGAATGAAGTGTTTGGGTCATCAGAGTTGTTAGTTCATGTATGGGCATCATATAATGCATTTGGCCACCCGAAGGGTGGACACTTTCATAAGAACATAAGAATGGCCGTACTGGGTCAGACCAAAGGTCCCTCTAGCCCAGTATCCTGTCTGCCGACAGTGGCCAGCACCAGGTGCCCCAGAGAGGGTGGACCGAAGACAATGATCAAGCAATTTGTCTCCTGCCATCTCTCTCCAGCCTCTGACAAACAGAGGCCAAGAACACCATTTTATCCCCTGGCTAATAGCCTTTTATGGACTTAACCTCCATGAAATTATCTAGCTTCTCTTTAAACTCTGTTATAGTCCTAGCCTTCACAGCTTCCTCTGGCAAGGAGTTCCCCAGGTTGACTACACGCTGTGTGGAGAAGAACTTTCTTTTTTTAGTTTTAAACCTGCTACCCACTAATTTCATTTGATGTCCTCTAGTTCTTCTATTAAGGGAACTAATAAATAACTTTTCTTTATCAGCAGCTCTGAGTTGGTATATAGAGAAAGGTGCAAAGAGGAGAGGAAGGGGACATGAGAGTCAATGTTTGAATATGTTAATGTTGGCTCACAGATAGTGCTAGTTTTCCTAGAGGTTCACAGCTAATGTGGCAAGAGAGACATGCTCTAAGACCAGCAAATGCCCCTTTTATGTGAACTTTAATGACCAGAGAGAAGACAGCAGACTTGGTTGTTGTACACTTGGGGGAAATTGTAAAAGGACTGACTTAATCATTAGGACACAGACATTTAGAGCTTTTTTCTCCCAGGAGTGACTATAAACTAGTCTGAAATGCTGCTGTAGAGGATATGTTGGGCTCCCACATTGGCAAGGCCAGAAGAGTTGTGAATTGGGAGATGGCTAAATTTGTATACGAGCGGGGAAGATCAGTGATTACTCACCAAAATATCTTATGCTATTTGGTGTCCATCTTCTTTAGAGATGATGGGATACACATCTCCAACTAAAGACTGGATATATTTTTGGCGGATTTTAGGGAAGAATGTAACTATTTTGGAACACAGCTGTCAGTGATTGTAGGGGAAGACCACCCATGCTCTTGTCCCCACAGTTTGCTTGGCCATTTCCAACTCCTTCATGTGGGCCCAGCTAAGAATAGAACCAATGGAACTCCTTATACCCTAAGAGGCATCAGCACTGTGAACAGGATCTCTCTCCAAGCAAATAGATGAGAACTGTGGGTCATTGTTGGATCTTGCTTTCTTACCTTGCTCCAGTCCCTGCTCATCAACCCTACTACTGATCTGCCTATGACTTTTGGCATGGCTCCTGACATTAACCCCCATTCTGACTCTAAATCACACTCATGCTCTGATACCCACACTGTTTCTTTTCATCTTCTCTTTGTTTACTTTCTCTGTTCTTTCTTTGCCCCAATTCCCACTTTCCATAGGTTTCACTCCCAGCCTGTCTTCTATTTCACTTGCCAAAGTGACCATCAGCAAAGTAGTTACTGTTGACACTAAATGATCCTCATGAGGCTTAGAGTTAACTCTAACCCAATTATATAAAGAACAACAATAACAACAACAAAGGGAAACCACAGTCTTCAAAGCTATTGATTCTGGCTCTTTGCAAATTCAGGCAAAGATCACCTTTTCATGCTAACTCAATATGTAGGAAATTCTCTTCAGAAACAATGAAAATTCAGATTGTGCAGAATTTGAATATGCCATGATGACTTACCATGTGCACATCTAGCAGGGGGAATTTTGGTATGTAACACCTCTGTGATGGAATCTTTTACTTTTACCACAAGATTCTTTTACTTTTTAATTGATTAACAGCTGGCAGAAAATGTCAAGATAGAGATACAAAGTAAGAGCCAATTTTCATTCACATAACAAAATAAAAAAAGACTACCTTACAGACAGGTATAATCTACACGAAGGAGTATTGTCCTTTCACAATTCTTATTTTTCATTAAAATTGGTCAGAAATAACTAAAAAGGACTCATCATAGCACAACTTTGTAAAATATATCAATTTTACCCTGCTCTGTAACTTTTCGGTAACAAAACCTACCTGGACAAAATACACATGCAGTCATTAAAATGGAATGGCAGTGCCAATTAAGTTTGTGTTTACACGTAAATCCAATCTCTGAAGAAGTTATAAAAGTTTACTAAGTCATATTTCTTTTGTTATATTAGCTACACCCACCGGGTGGTTGGCAATGGAATCAAAGCTCAGTCTGCAAATCCGGAAGTAAAAGTGAAAGGCACAGATCCTGTAATAAGTCAAATTATTGATAAACTGAAACACATTATCCAGGTAAGATTTCTTTGTGTATATATGTTAAAACCATCACTTTGTGAATTAAGGTAATATTGGTGCTGAATAAATGTGGATTGCTGTACATTAGAATTAAATTGTTAACTCAAGTCAGAGTTCAGTGTAGGTCTGGCATGAAATATTTAATCCCCAATTATTAATAATGATTTATTTAAAAGCTTTGCATATGTTAGATGAGAGCTAGAAGTGAGAGTCTGTCAGCAGAGCCATCGGTATCTGTAAGCTGAGATTGGAACTCAACATTACAATAAGTGCTTGTAATCTAAGCATGTGTCTGATCCTCAATTGGTGAATTTTAAACATGTTAATCATGGCGTAATATCATTAATAAGACATGACAGTACACATAAAAAAGCACACAAACCACCATCCTGCTAATTTCACCTCTTTCCAGACTTGAAAGTCTGGTTGTAAGATTTTCTATTTTACTTTACTGCAGAGAAGGTTGGAAATGTGCATAATACTTGCTACAGTATTTGGTGTATATATGATCTCATAACACATGTTCAGGTAACCTTTTGAGATTTAAGCTTTTATATGGTGTTTATTTCCATTGTGTGTCAGTGTGGTGCCTTAATGTGCCCAAAGATATTACAGTTACAGAGGTGTGCTAAGATTGCCTGAAAGGTAGGGAATGTTGCCATTTACTTTAGGACCTGGATTTCATCCATATTATTATTTGAGGGTTGTAGCTGCAATGGTATGAAGATTCAAGCTCAAATACAATTACTCCTTTCGTTCCATTAACAAAAAATAACCTTTTTTCTTTACAATTGAAGTATGCTGTTATCTCTAGTCTTTCCTATTTTTTTCTTAAAATTGAATGAAAGTAAGTACAATTTTGGCCTCCAAAGAAATGCCAAGAATTAATTAAGGGCTACGGATTGCTCTCTGATGGAAAAAGGTTGCAGACAGTTATGTTTAAGCCTCAAGGTCTTTCATCTGTCAGAAATGCCCTATTTTGATATTAAATGTGTCCTGTGTACTTTAATGTGTTAAGTTCTACCCTGAGGATTAGTCTGAAGACTTAATGTGGTTGGCAGGAGAAATTCTATTATAATTCATTGTTTCCAGTGCTTTCTCTTCCTATACAGTACTTGCAAGAGCAGAGTGAATCTTGTGTAGAAGGATTTAATAATACATAATGCACAAATTCTGCCTTTCTGTGGGACATCTGTTTTTTTTCTTGCAGATGTGGGTATGGAAATAGGGCTGGTGAATAGAGAAAACAGCAAATACTCTGGGGAATCAGAGGTACAATATGTAGCTATTTTTCTCTAGATGAAAAAGGCCGAAGAACCTGAAGGAAAAGCTTTCATCTCAATCGTGTACTATGAATTAGGGAATTAAATATAAAAGACCACCTTTTTTATCCTTTGTGATATAAAAAGGATGACTCGTCTTTTGAATTCATTTTGGATCACCCTGAGAGATTAAACAAGGAGACTTAATAGATTGGGAGGTACCTTCCAGTATAGAAAAGTCAGACCTCTACATGATGTAGGCCAGCACTATTTTCAAGTTATCCTACCATAGTGGAAAAACCTAGAGGACTAGTTTAGCATCTGAAAACAAAAAGATACTTGATTTGACATTTAGAACTGGATGCATTTTGAAATGTGTTTACAAAAAGACATGAGTGTGTATATTTGGTACACCTCATCTAAACACACAGCTACTATCATAATAATAACTGAGGACCCAAACTGACAGTTTGCCATTTGTGTGGAAATATTTCATGTATATCTATGTAGTAACAATTGTACATCAAATCAGATGCAGTTTTGCCTGTTCATTTGTGTGTTATGCAGTTCTGAAAATCATGCCACTAGCTTTATGTCTATGGGAAGAAATGGAAAAGTGAGAATTTAGGATTGTATGGGCTCTCACTCCATCCTTAAAATCCACAAAGGGCATAATGTTATTACGGGCAATAGGGTGACACTGCATGTTCTCTGCTTTCTCTGTTTGATACTCTGTGGTTCTGGCATTATTGAAGACACTGGGATTTTTGCTATTGAATTCACTGGGGCCAAGTTTTAACCCAAAATTCTTTAGATAGTTCAGTCCCGCTGCTGCAGGGTGTTCCCCAGGGTTCCCAGCTGGGGCCACCCAGCTGCCACCAGCCCTGCTTCAGCCAGGGATTCCCCAGCAGAGACTACCTGGCCACCCCTGCCCTGCTGCCACTGGGGGA